CTGGAAATCTGGTTCGGTTCAAGGATTCGAGTAATCCCATACTGCATGTGCCTTGGGTCTTACCCTGGTGGCCGAGACAGGCCATCCCAACACTTGGCGGCACACCAGTATCAGCCTTGGCTGGATAAATCTCCTCAGACTTATCCAATGGCTTTGAACATTTAAAACTAACATGAGTCTATTGACATGTTAGGATAAGGCTTATTCGAGTTCCTTCGATCTGGGCGGGATAAGGATAAGATCTATTGACATGCGGTGTGATCCCGAAGAGATCGGAGACAATTGGCTCACTTCTAGAAGGAGATTATGTGGCATCCTCGGTAGGTCAGTGTGACGAGCTGCTTAGGCCTCGGTCTTAGCTAAATGACTTGAGGTACCCAAAACGACTTGGACTGCTAAAGTGTCATGAGGTTGACAGGTCGCTCTACGTGTCATCATATCACAGGTCGGGCCAAATTATCCCTCATCACTAGTAAAAGGGAAGACTTTGTTCCCTTTTCTTCTTAGACTCTAGCAAGCTTTTACCTTCTGTAATTTCCACCATTAGGCCTGTTATTGAAGGTTTTTGCAACTTTCACCTATAGAAATGAAACAATGTAATGAGCGAGCAAACTTAGGAGCCTCATAACAACCTCAATGCCATCTTTCCAGGGTCTTGGTTCCGATTCTTTCCACCATTGAAAACGCAATAGCATTAGAATATGGCCTATTGTTTTGTAATAAATGGAAGACGACTCAATTCATTGTCCATCCACTTATGTACGAATAATGTTAGAACATGGACTAGGAGCGGAGCTGTACTAAAGACAATCAAGTGGATGGAGAGAATCAAGCACCAATGCAACTACATGTCCTCTTCTTGTTCAGTCTCAAGGTAGAAGACAATGAACAGTGCCTTCTTTTGAAGGGTAGTTTTGATATTTTTAAAAGTTTTAAGTCGTACATGCTATCATGTGATATAGATAACTAATGGGCTGCTAATGGCAGGGACTAAATTGATAGTTTTTAGAGTTCAGGTACTATAGTGGCACATTTTAAAGTTTAGGTACTAAACTAAGACTACCCCTAAGAAATTGGCTTTCCTCTCAAGTTTCTTTATTTTGGATCCCATTCACTTTTTGTGAAATTACTTACTTAGGTAAATGTTTCCTAGGAAATACTTACTCAAATAAGTGCATTACTCATGTTATTTTATTTCTCAGGTAAATATGACAATGACCATTTTAACCATAAAAAGCCATTATTAAAAGGGCAATTTTGTCCCATCAAAGTATTGGAATTTTCTTTCAAGGTGAAAAAATTACTTACCCACTTGAGGGCCCTTACTGTGGGGAAAAATAATTTTTTCATGAACCCCACATAAAATTGAAAAAARAACATAGATATCTAAATCAATAGGAATTAAAATCCCATTAACCAACTTTCCCCTTTATCAAAATGAAAAAATTGAACGGGCTCTTATTGGCTTCTCAAAAGCAATTCAATGAAAACTTCAACCCTCCAAACAGGCTTTTTAGCTATCGGGTTTAGCACTTTTTATTTTGGATTTCCTCTGACGAAAGTGGTCCTACACGGCTAGAACCACCTCACTCATACTCTCTTACCTACTTCTTTCGGACCGATTCAGGTCGGCCTATTTTCAAAATGCAAGTTTTATTTTCATGTCCGTAATAAATATAAAATATATGATACCGAAAGGTATGATACCACCGAATTCGAATGTGCTTCTTGCACACCGCTCCTCACACCGACCTCATGTTTCAACCGCACATGGAAACAATCTTCCGTACCTTGTGTTATTAGTTAGAAGGAGATGTTTCAAATACACGGTGGGATGCGACTGTGAAGTAAGTGTGAAGTGCGCTTTATGAGCAGCAAATTTCGATTCGATACCACCCGCACACCACCACGTGAATATTGATGAATACCACCTGGTTAACACTTTTTTCGATACCGGTTGATTGGTTAAAGTTTTCCGGTATAACAGTCGAAAACGCGTGGCGATATTTTTTTTACGGAATAATACAGAACTACAGATTAGATTACAGATGCAGTAGAGGATTCGAGCTCATCGGCATTCACCGTAACATCGAGTTCCCGACATTTTTTTTTGGTAGAAGAGTTCCCAACATAATTCAATCACGATTTACGACGTCTTCGGCGCGAACATCTTCGCTGCGCAGTTCACCAGATCTAGTTTTATCAGAAGATATTCATTTCTGTTACCGAGAATTAGACGTTGCAGGCGTTGGATCAGAACTGAATAGCAATAAAAATGAGGAGGTCTGCATCTCCATCTCTCTCGATCCAATATCACATTTTGATGTTTTTCTTCAGTTGTGTAGAGCTTGATTTGGATCTCGTGTTGCAGGGCTGGAGATGCGTTGGGAAGGAGAGGGGGGCATAGGCAACTGAAGCAACTGAGCGGGGGAATGAGGGGACTGTTGGGGCGGTTGTCGGTTGCAGTCGTTGTTCTGCTGATCTGTACCATCTCTCTGCTCTCGACGATGAAAGGAAACACTGCAGACTATGGATCGAAGGTTCGTTAAATCAAGCTCAGTGTCATGCAGACTATTTAATTGTTTGTTTACTGCGGGTTCTCCGTTGTGGCCTTCTCTTTTCGTGAATTTGATTCTTGAAGGGGATCTCGATATTTTGGTAATCCATGAGTGGAATTAAGAATGTTTGCCTAATACATTTAGCAGAAACACAGTTCGTATACGACTTAAGTTGGTTTTAGATGGAATTTAGATAAGAAAATGGTGGACATGCTTGCAAAGATAATGTGCGTATTTCCCCTATGCTTTTCAGAATCAGAGAATGAAAAAAATTTCTCATCAGCAGCTAAGCGTAAACTTGAAGAAAGAGTCTTATACCTCCGCAGACGGGTAGATTGTAAACCAATGAAAAATAAAAAAAAGAAAAAAAAAACTTCAATTAGGAAAACTACCAAAGCCTTTTCAACAATTTCGTAGTATAGACTAAGCTCCTTCACGTAATCAAATCTCCATGGGCATAGAAGGGCCAAATTTTAGAAATCTGGGAGTTGAAGGAGATTCAAGAGTTTTAAGTTTTAACAGGATGGTTAACTGGAAATCAGAAAATCTCTTGGAGATAGATATATGCTGTGAGAGAAATAGAAAAGATATTGTGAGTTAGGCTCCATTTGGAAGGAGTATAAATACAAATATGTAGAGCGCAAATCCTTGTATTTTGTATTATTTTGTATGTATTTGTACAGTACATATTTGTATTTGTACTCCTTCCAAACTAAGCCCTAGGAGCAAATGCAACATGGCTACCTCGTTCTGCCAATGGGTTGGCAAATGAATTGGCAAAACCAGGGGTTGAGGGATCAGATGTATTGGGGTCACTTACTGTGAAAGGAAATGAAATTGCAACTGTGGGGGAGTTAGCTGAGGCTAACCCGAATATATATATATATATATAGCTTTTATAGAAGGTGTTTCATACTAGGATTATCATCTTGCTTGTTTGAATATTTTGGTAGAACTATCACATCAATAGCAAGTAGTTGTAAATCAGTAGATATACTTAGATGGGTTTCTAGACTTTTATTCTATTTATTGGCACATAGCTCATTTGGAGTTTCTTGTGTTCACAACCAGATCAGTTGTATCTTGATCATTGGATTCTTTAGTCTATTTTCTGTAGGGTTTTGAGAAACCTTGTATCGCATGGTTGTTATGGGCCCGAGCGTAGGATCGCGTCACGGGTCGCTCCACCGCAGGAACCTCAGATCTTTCCTTGCCCTTGGCCTTGCGTACAGGTCCTATTTTGACTATCTCGGGGGTGATTTGTCCAAGAGATCACCCGAACTC